AGGCTCCTCCTGCTGCGGCCGGCCTGCCAGCCCAGCCGGGCCCTTTCTGAGCTGGGAGCTGGGGCCCTGTTCCTGGGCCTCGGCGAGGGGAAGAGGCCCGCAGTGCGTGTGCCTGTGTGTGGCGGTGCCTGGAGATGGGGACTGTATAAGATGTGTAAGGGGTGTCTGCCTGCAGGGGCGTGTGCTAGGCTGTGTGCTGTGCGTCGCCCCTTATCCGGTGTAGCTGTGTGACTGTGTTCAAAAAGCCAGCTGCCCTGCTGGCCTGGGGCTGTGCTGTGTGGTCAGTGAGCCAGTGTCTCCACCGAGGCCCCGGGACCCGCTGCTTCTGCCGCGGAAGAGGCGCCTGGAGCCAGGTGGTGACCGTGACGCTGGACTGACCCACGGGGTGATGCTCCCCGGCCCCTCACCCACCCCGTGCTGATGCTCGGCTCCCGAAGGTGTCTGGGGGAGTGTGGAGGCTGATGGCTGGCCCTGGACAAGAGGAGCCGGGCCAGAGGCGTGGCCAAGGGCCCGAGGGCCAGGCGGGGAGGAGGCTCGGCCTCGACGTCAGTGGACAGTGGGTGGATGTGTGCAAGGCGGTGGTTTGACCTGTGCGTGAGGGAGGGGCGCAGAGGGCGCAGAGGCGTGCACAGCCTTGCCGGGCGGGTCTTCCGCGGGCACTCTGGCTTCCTCCGGGTCCCGTTTAGCTGGGCCACCGGCTGGCAGCCAAGACCAGGACTGTTCAGCTCTCTCCTCCGCTCTCTCCCAGTCACGCATCGCTAAGCGAGGCCGGAAGCTGGTGGACTACGACAGTGCCCGGCACCATTACGAGTCCCTCCAAACAGCCAAAAAGAAGGATGAAGCCAAAATTGCCAAGGTGAGGGGCCAGGGCAGTGCTGGGGAAACAGCGGGGGAGGGCTGTGCGCAGGCCCAGGAGCCTCCCTGGGCTGGGCTTACCTGCCCCTTTGCACCCTGGCCCCTGCCCTCCACCTGTGACAGGTGGCAGGTCCCAGAGCTGGGTGGTGGGTGACAGGGTGGTCCCGGGGTGGCCCTCTGGCTCATTCACTGGCACCTGT